GACTTCGCTGCCAGTGACATCAAAGGCTGACAAGTTGCCACTGGAAATGGAGCCAGTTGCCCATGACAACCACACAAGTTGAATGTTTAAACCGCGGGCCCGTTTCTCGAAAGCCCCAGAAACTTTTTGGGCCCGTAAAGCCATAGCAAAATCTTGAACCTTACGATAAGAGAGCTGTTTTATTCACATATTCTTAATATGAAGAGAAGTTCCCTTCATACAAGAAGTTTCAGGTGCATACACTTCTCTGTTTTTAGATATAGGTAAAGTCTGCATGCGAGCCAAGTGGCCCATCAGGCCGGAGCTTATCCCGGTTTCTGTAGCATGAAGCGACTAGGAGTATTTCTACTTCCCCCTGGATGGGATGCTAGTCCATCGCAGGGTTAACCCCAGCATTAAGTTCGCCGGTACCCATTTATACACCTGGGTGAAGAGAGGCACTGTGAGAATAAAGTGTCTTCCCCAAGAACACAACACAATGTCCCCGGCCAGGGCTCAAACCTGGACAGCTCAATCCGGAGACGAGCGCACTAACCATGAGGCCACCGCGCCTCCCCTTTATGGGGCTTTCGAGAAACGAGCCCCTGGTCATCAAACTTTTGTCACGCCTTACTCAAGTGATAATCATAAAACAAGATTAATGAAAATTATTTTCAACCGGACAATTAAAACAACAGTACATGACAACAAAATGATATAAACATGTATCACGGATTTCAAAATGTCTGTGAGCCTCTGATGAAGNGCCGGAGCTTATCCCGGTTTCTGTAGCATGAAGCGACTAGGAGTATTTCTACTTCCCCCTGGATGGGATGCTAGTCCATTGCAGGGTTAACCCCAGCATTAAGTTTGCCGGTACCCATTTATACACCTGGGTGAAGAGAGGCACTGTGAGAATAAAGTGTCTTGCCCAAGAACACAACACAATGTCCCCGGCAGGGCTCGAACCTGGACAGCTCAATCCGGAGACGAGCGCACTAACCATGAGGCCACCGCGCCTCCCCTTTACGGGGCTTTCGAGAAACGAGCGCCTGGTCACCAAACTTTCGTCACACCTTACTCAAGTGATAATCATAAAACAAGATTAATCAAAATTATTTTCAACCGGACAATTAAAACAACAGTACATGACAACAAAATGATATAAACATGTATCACGGATTTCAAAATGTCTGTGAGCCTCTGATGAAGTTTGGGGCTTAAGTGATACCAGGCTAAGAATATTAAACAACTAGAATTCAGTTTTATTATTTACTCAGTTCATAATATAATTGTCTAAACACAAGTGCCAA